ACATTTTGCTATTTATGCTATTTAAGAGACTGAGCTGAAAACAGCACCTCAGACTGAGGAAGTCTCTTGGATGAGAGACGAAACGTTTCTATATATTTTTTTGCTTTTTTTTTTTTTTTTTTTTTTGAATGTCCAGAGGACCAGATTGAACTTTTTTGGAAAAAAGCACATTGTTTCTCATTGTAGAGCTAATTCTAACCTTGTAAAAATTATACAGGCCTTTAGCATTAGCTCAGTTAGCATTTTTATTCTTATTTCTGTCAGTACAATGATGTCAAACACACCAAAGCAATTAAAACATTAGGACAAAGTCCAACAAACTCCCGATTGGTTTATTTAGAGACATATCTCAGTATCTGGCAGTTTAATATTTAACTTATCTATACATTAGCCGCAAGCTAAGTGAGCTCAACTGAGTTATTCATTCATGGGGATTTCCACAGATATTACCCAACAAGCGGTCCCCTTGGTCTCTCACTGGGATTTCCACAGATAATTCTCAATGAGTGGTCACTTCCGTCACTCATAGACAGGTTGTAAGGTCCACAGTTTGGTTGGTCAGTGCACGTGTAAAGAGCATGCCTGAGAATTTAGGGAAAAATGACCAACCCACGTTGGTTAAATTCAACTCAGTAAAAACTGAGTGCCCTCTGTTGGACCCTCCCGGTATCACAACCTAAATTACATATATGGGTTCAGTAGCCCAATGTTTCATGCGGGCTATACCCTCCCCTCTTGACTTGGCATGAGTCCCTTCATTCTCTGGTTGGTGAGTAAGATAATTGTCACCAAATGCTTCAAGTGCCTTGTTAAAACTGGCAATAAAATTTTGGGCAAAGGAGATTAAGGGTTTACCCAAGTGAAAATAATGAACACGGTCAGGTGGTCATCGTGACCTTTCTGGCCTTCGGGCAAAGTCTGGTGGGTCTTGAGCTGAAAAAGTTTCACTCTTGGTTTCTCCCACAGGGTTTTCACAGGTAAGTATGTTGTCTGATTTAGTGTTCTTTTGCAATTCTGCATCTGTTGCACTCTACAGTAGGCATGGGTTAGTGGTTTAACAAAATCGCACCAATGACTTTTGTCTTTGTTCTTGTGGGTTCTGAGCATAGAAAGAAAGGTTCGGTTGAACCTTTCAACCGGATTTCCCCTCGAGTGATAGGGACTGGTTTGGACTTTTGTGATGCTAACTAGAGCACACAGTTCTTCAATAAGTTGAGACTCAAAGTCTCTGCCTTGATCACTCAACAGACGCTCTGGAAACCGATTGTGCACTAAAAACTGTTCCCATAGGCTCTTATCGACTGTTGAAACTTTCTGGTCTTTTGTGGGTATAGCCACAGCATATTTAGTGTAAGGGTCCCACTGCCTGCAGCCTGCCTTGCTGATGGCCGCTGATTACCAACACCTGGCGGCCATCAGCCTGATGAGCCTCTCCATCTACTTAAGGCTGCAGTCCGGTGTGACTCAACGCTGGAACATATCACCTCTCATGGTATAGTACTGTTGAGCTAGAAATATCTAGGTGAAAAGAATTTGTTCACCTGTGTTCTTTTTTCCAGTTTCCTGGTTCCTCGTGTTTTTTGGATTCTCCTCGTGCCCTGACCTGGATCCCTCGGCCTGTCAGGTATCCCTCATGCCTCTTTGCCTCCAGTTGCCAGCCTTCCTCGTTTCCCTTGGACCTTCGTTGGATTTCCCTCTGCTGCTCTCTCCCTGGACTGAAGGACCAGCTCTCCTTCGGGTTTGGACTGTAAGGATAAAACGCTCTTCAAACAAACCACTCTGGTCTTCCCCGTTGGACAAACATTAACCTGTCGTCCCTCTTTCCAGGAGCCGCTGAGAAGCAGCGTGTGGATCTTAATTTTCACTGTACATAATAAACACTGTTCTTTTTGTACTTCCCCTGTGTCTGCCTCGTTCTGGGTCTCATATCATCTGGGTTCCCCGCGCACTCCTAACATTTAGTAAAATGGACTATGACTCCTTGAATCGCCACCTTATCGCGGTGGAGGAGTTTGTGCACCTGAATGATCCTAGGAGCTATGCTGTCGGGGGCCATTATATTTGCCCTTGGTAGGGTCTCCCAAGGCAGATTGGTCCTAGGTGACAGGCCAGACAAAGAGCAATTCAGAAGATTTTTATAGACAAAACAAAACCAGGAACTCAGTGTCCCTTGCCCAGATGTGGGTTACCGGGGCCCCACCCTGAAGCCAGGCCTGGGGGAGGGGCTCGCTGGCGAGTGCCTGGTAATCGGGTCTCTACCCATGGGGCCCGGTTGGGCTCAGCCCAAAGGAACAGCATGGGTTTGCCTTCCTGTGGACCCACCACCTACAGGAAGGGCCATAAAAGTCAGGTGCATGATGCTATGGGAAGTGGCCGAAGGCGGAGACCTTGGCGCTCTGACCCTGGCTTACCAAAACTGGCTCTTGGGACATGGAATGTAACCTTTCTGGCAGGGAAGGAGCCTGAGCTTGTGCGCAAGGTTGAGAGGTACCGACTAGATATAGTTGAGCTCACTTCAACGTATAGCATGGGCTCTGGAACCGATCTCCTTAAGAGGGGCTGGACCTTATTCTACTCTGGAGTTTCCCATGGTGAGAGGCGTCGAGCTGGTGTGGGTCCACTTGTAGCCCCCCGACTTGGTGCCTGTGTGTTGGAGTTTTCCGCGGTAGATGAGAGGGTGGATTCCCTTCACCTTCAGCTGAGGGGAAGATTTCTGACTGTTGTTTGTGCCTATGCGCGAACTGAAGTTCAGAGTATCCAGCCTTTTTGGAGTCCTTGGCAGGGGTGCTGGAAGGTGTGCCAGCTGGGGACTCCTTTATTCTGCTGGGGGAATTCAATGCCTACGTGGGTCATGACAGTGTGACCTGGAGGGGCGTGATTGGGAGGAACGACCTCTCTGATCTGAACCCGAGCAGTGTTCTGTTGTTGGACTTCTGTGCTAGTTATAGTTTGTCCATCACTAACACCATGTTCGAACATAAGGGTGTCCATAATTTTTTCCTGTTGAACACAGACAAAACTGAGGTTTTGGTTTTTGGACCTGAGCACCTTAGGAATGCATTTTTCAGTCTTTCTCCCTCCTTAGATGGCATTAATCTGTCCTTCAGCTCTAATGTTAAAAATCTTGGTGTTATTTTTGATCAGGACATGTCTTTTATCTCCCACATTAAAAAACGTTACTAGAACTGCCTTCTTCCACCTGCGTAATATCACTAAAATTAGAAACATCTTATCTAAAAATTATGCAGAAAAACTGGTCCATGCATATGTCATATGTAGACTGGACTATTGCAATGGTTTATTATCTGGATGTCCAAATACTTCTTTTAAAACGTCTTCAGTTGATCCAAAATGCTGCTGCCAGAGTCTCAACCGGAGTTAGTAGGAGAGATCATATTTCTCCAGTTTTAGCTTCTCTCCATTGGCTCCCTGTCAAGTCCAGAATAGAATTCAAAATCTTACTTCTAACCTACAAAGCTCTGAACAACCTGGCTCCATCTTATATTACAGATCTTATTGTTCCATATTTTCCTAACAGAGCACTTCGCTCTCAGACTGCAGGTTTACTTGTGGTTCCTAGAATTTACAAAAAAAAAAAACAGAATGGGAGGCAGATCTTTTAGTTATCAGGCTCCTCTCTTGTGGAACCAACTTCCAATCTCTGTCCATGAGGCTGACACATTATCCAGTTTTAAAACTAGGCTTAAGACTTTCCTTTTTGCTAAATCCTATAGTTAGGGTTGGCTTGGGTTTCCTGAGCTGTCCCTTAGTTATGCTGCTATAGGCTTAGACTGCTGGAGGACAAATTGACCACAATTTTCACTCTACTACTGTCTTTACTTACTCTTCTCAACCTGTTTTGTATTTGTAATTATTTTTTCTATTCTTAACATGTGTTTTTTTTTTTTGTCTTTCAGATACATCTGGACCTATACTTGGACCTACCATTCTATGTTCGTCTGTCTCTCCTTCCTGTCCTCTCAACCAGCCGTTCAAAGCAGATGACCGCTTGTCCTGAGTCTGGTTCTGCTGGAGGTTTCTTCCTTTTAAAAGGGAGTTTTTCCTTTCCACTGTTGCCACTGTGCTTGCTCAGGATGGGAGACTGCAACAAAGCCAAGATTCAACTTGTCTGCCGGATTCCTTAGATAGAGAACTTTACTAATTGGCTTTTATGTATGTGAATGTTCCTGTAAAGTGCCCTGAGACAACTTTGTTGTGATTTGGCGCTATATAAATAAACTGAATTTAATTGAATAAGTGCACTTGGCACCAGGATGCGTTAGGTCGTAGATCGATGATTGACTTCATAGTCGTGTCATCTGATTTGTGGCCCTTTGTTTTGGACACTCAGGTGAAGAGAGGAGCTGAGCTGTCAACTAATCGCCACCTGGTAGTGAGTTGGATGAGATGGCGGGGGAAGATGCCGGACAGATCCGGTAGACCCAAACATGTATTGAGAGTTTTCTGGGAACGCCTAGCAGAAGAACCCACCAGAGAGATCTTCAACTCACACCTCCAGGAGAGCTTTAACCACATTCCAGATGAGGTGGGGGACATTGAGTCCAAGTGGACAATGTTCTGCACCTCGCTTGTTGACGTAGCTGCCTTGAGCTGTGGCTGCAAGATTGTTGGTGCTTCTCATGGTGGTCATCCACAAACTCGATAGTGGACACCCTGGGTTAGGCAGGTTGTCAAGCTGAAGAAGGAGTCCTATCGGGCCTTGTTGGCCAGTGGGACTCTGGAGGCAGCTGAGGAGAACCGGAGGGCCAAGCGATGTGCAGCCTTGGCTGTTGCTGAGGCAAAAGCTTGGATGTGGGAGGAGTTTGGTGAGACCATGGATAGAAACTCTCAGTCGGCTTTGAGGAGATTTTGGAAAACCATCTTTTGGATGGCTGAGGAGGGAAAAGCAGCACTTTACTAACACTGTGTTCATTGAAGGTGGGGTGCCGTTGACCTCAACCAGTGATGTCGTCGGGAGGTGGAAAGAATACTTCTCGGACCTTCTCAATCCCACCAGCACGTATTCCACGGAGGAAGCTGAGTCGGGGGACTTTGGGGTTGATCCATCCATAACCGTTACTGATGTCGCCGAGGTAGTTACAAAGCTCCGAGGTGGCAGGGCTCCGGGAGTGGATGAGATTCACCTTGATTTCCTTAAGGCTCTGGATGTTGTGAGGCTGTCTTGGCTGACACGCCTTTGTCATGTTGCGCGGACATCGGGGGCAGTGCCACTGGACTTGCAGAATGGGGTGGTGGTTCCCTTCTTCAAAAAGGGGGACCAGAGGGTGTTCTCCAATTATAGCAATATCACTCTCTTTAGCCTCCTTGGTAAGTTCTATTCAGGGGTACTACAGAAGCGAGTCCGATCGTTGGTTGAACCTCGGATCCAGGAGGAACAATGTGGGTTCCGTTCTGGTCGTGAAACATTGAATCAGCTCTTTACCCTCGCTTGTACGCTTGTCCAATTCCCCAAGATGCACAGAAAACCCTCTGGCACCAACATTGTACAATAAACAAGAAGGTGGCCATTTTTGAATGCCGGTCCAATTTTCACACCTTTTTGGCAGTTTACAACCTCCGCATTTGAATGAACTCCTCCTAAGAATTTCGCCCAATCGGTTTCAAACTTGGCCATTTTGGTCAAAAGGCATGGGGGACGCAAAATTATCGAAACGGTTAGTTTCAAAAAAATGCTGAAGGGGCGAGGCCAGACCTCAAAGTTTGACATCTCGCAATGAAAAACGAAATACTAATTGCTCCTACACGAAAAATGTATGAAACATCAAACCTTCAGTAATTGATCCATATCCAATCCCTTGCAAGACTGAATGGTTAAATCATGACATCACTTAAGCCACACCCCCTGAAAACAGGAAGTATAAAGTTTTATGTTGAACAATCCCTATCTGACCCCTGTTACCTGATCAGCATGATAGTGTGTCCAGTGACTGAAGACATGTTGGTGTAACTTGCTTTCCAACACTGACAGTTTTGGGTGGAGCAAGTGGGTGGCGCGGAGTGGCGAAATAAGACGTAACGCCGTTGCCATATAGTAGGCTCTAAATTCCACTGATTTGAACCGAAGTGAAAAAAAATCAGTATGATCGATCATTATCCACCCCTTGAACAGGAAGCCATGATAAGCAGCCTGTAGCCTCCACAGCGCCACCTAGAATATTTAAAAACCTGAGCCCCAAGCCAATTTTGGACAGATAATTCGGAAACTCGATGAATATCTGTATCTTCTCAGGACCTATGAAAAAGTCTCTTGGAGCCCTGGTCCAAAACAGGAAGTCAACAGGAAGTCAGCCATTTTGGGCCAAAGGGTCATTTTTGGGTGTTTCTACTTGCAAATTTTTACAAACTCCTCTTAAGAATTTTGAAGGATTACTTTAAAACTTGGTTGATATGCCCTTAAGACATTGCAGAGTAAAATTTATCTAAAGTTTGTGTTTTTGTATATGTTAAAGGGGCGTGGCTAGGCCTCAAAGTTTCGCTTCATGCCATAAATTTCCAAACACTATAATTTTCACAATGAAAGACCGAAATGCACGAAACTTGGCATGACTCACCCCTGTTGGATGTCTGACAATCCACTGTGGTCATATTTGGATGTCATCAAATCAACGCCCCCTCAGAACAGGAAGTCTCTGTTTTGAACTTGGAATGCTCCCTATTTGACACCATTGACCTAATCAGGATGATCCTGTGTTAGAAGACAGATAATATGTCATGGGGGATGCAAAATTATCTAAACGGTTCATTTCGGAACATGCTGAAGGGGCGGGGCCAGACCTCAAAGTACAAACCAGATTCCAAAAAAGTTGGGACACTAACAAAAATTGTGAATAAAAACTGAATGCAATGATGTTGAGATGGCAAATGTCAATATTTTATTCGTAATATAACATAGGTGACAGATCAAAAGTTTAATCTGAGTAAATGTAACATTTTAAAGGAAAAATATTTTGATTCAAAATTTCACAGTGTCAACAAATCCCAAAAAAGTTGGGACATGTAGCAATAAGTGGCTGGCAAAAGGAAATTGGGCATATAATGAAAATTTGGAAGACCAATTAACACTAATTAGGTCAATTGACAACATGATTGGGTATAAAAAGAGCTTCTCAGAGTGTCAGTGTCTCTCAGAAGCCAAGATGGTAAGAGGATCACCAATTTCACCATTGTTGCACAGAAAGATAGTGCAGCAATACCAGAATGGTGTTACCCAGCGTAAAATATCAAAGACTTTTAAGTTATCATCATCAACCGTGCATAACATCATCAAAAGATTCAGAGAATCTGGAACAATCGCTGTGCGTAAGGGTCAAGGCCGTAAAACTCTACTGGATGCTCGTGATCTCCGGGCCCTTAAA